TATCATTCAATGGCATGCGCTTTCTTTCTCCAAAAATCATCCGCTTAACTTTTCCATCACTAGGGGAAACTCTATGCCACACGTGATTTGGCCTGTTTAGCAACACAGCTGCTCCGATTTGATGGTCGCAAGGCATAAACTAGTTAGAAAGAAACCACGACGGGTCAGACTGTACAAATCTCGGCAGGCGCTGCATCGTCGTCTGCTGGTATCAGGTGCTGGCCGGGCAGCAGTTGTCGGAGCACGAAACACGAAAGGGGCGTACAAAAGAGCAAGAATATCTGTCGCGATGGACCACTTTTCGACAGCTCCAAAGTCCACAAGTCCGCACCAAAAAAACCCACGAATGCAGAAGACGATGCAGACGGTCTTGGAATGAAGTCAACGCAGTTCCAGTCAAAAGGTTCTGGCCAAACCCCACCCAAGGATGCTCAGTTTGACTATGGATGACATATTGGATCGCTAAACGACTCAGTGCAATCACTTGGTTCCGCACGAGGCACACACAGAGGAACTCAAGACTGCAAAAACCTGTGTAGTTACTGCAGTGCCAGGATTAGAGCCACGTGTGCTCACATGATTTCCGCAATAGACTAAACAAAAGTTGGAGCACAATGCAACTCCTGTTGAAATCGTCCCGGTGGAGTGATCGTGTCCGTGCACAAGGGGCCTCCACAGTTGCTGCAATGTGTAAGAATCAGCGTGCGCATGCAACAAGCTTGAACCTGCCTTTTAGCTGCAGTTGAACAGACAGATCTGGATGCCACATGTAAGGTGGACTGCCCTGGCAAAGGGAAAGTTTGGCCTGCTTGAATTTTGCCTTCGGTTTGGCCTTGGCCTTGGCCTTCCCCGGCTTCCCAGATTCACGAATTCACGCCGGGCTCCCCGACCCACCAAATTTACATCCTCCAGAACCTACAAATTGGAACCTCCAAATTTGCAATTTTTGCCTTTGCCCGGGTCCTCCCAACCCCAAGTCGCAATTTCGCCCCCTCCGAGTGTCCAGAACCTCGGGGAGCGAGGGGGGGGGGGGGAGGGAGGGAGGGATTGAGCAACGCTGGCAGTGCTTTCGTTTTCTTCAACAGTATAACGAGAAACAGTATAACAAGACAAATAGACTTCAATAGTATCTACATGCACATATCAAGAGCACAAGTCTAGATGAAGCCGGGGTTTCGAGTTCATCGCACGCTTCAAACTTGGAACCAGGACACGCTGTGAACATCGTCATGGGAAACCCTTCGATGCGAGCATCATCTGAAACTACGCTGCGAGATGATGGTATGTGCGCAGATTCTTCCCGTAAGCATGCCGCAATTCACAGCCTCTACAGAGGCACCTGATGCAGCTGGACGTGCTTCATCTCAGAACTTCATTCAGAATCCACAGGGCTCTCAGCATCAATCATCAGATCCCGAATCAGAAGCAGGCACCTAGAGCAAGACGCAGAATGATTGTGGACCGTGGCTCGACTCAGTCTGGCCTGCGCAGGCTCTACATGCCCTTTCGCCGGAATCAAGAAGTCCTGGCTGGTTCACGGGAGTCATGTGAGAATCCCTCTTGATCTCAAGGGATCGTAAACGGCAAGTGCCTGACGGCTGCAGGGTCGCAAAGGATTCAGTAGACGCATGTGACACGTCAAGCTCTTCATGCAGCCGAACCGGAGGTTTGATTCAAGAACAATGGCTTAGATAGGTGAGTATTCAGCTTCCACCTCTCACGGAACACTTGCTCTGCCAAATTCCAAACACTCCACCTTGAGACCCCAAGCCGGGGCACTGCATTGCCATTCAAGGTACGTGTCAAAATAGTGGTGATGGTATAGGCACCTCAGTCCCAATCGAGATCCTTGCATCCTTCGTGGCATTGCGGCAGACTTCAGCCGCTGCAGAGTCTGCTGTGGTGACGGTGAGAATCCTCTTTGCTACAAGAGCTGCCGAAGAAGTGCAAGAACCTTTTCAAGGATGGAGTGTAGCAACCCTCCGATCCCTGCAAATTGATCTCACTGGCTGCATTGAGCCCACCAGAATCAGCTCTGTCGAGAGCCGCGCCTCCCAGCAAGGCGCCTCGGCACCGTGGCAGGTCAAACACTTTCTTGTCAGCGGGAACCCTGAACCGTGAAAACCCAAACTCCAGCGCTGCTAGGGGAGGCTTCGGCTTGTCCATCAATGGGGACTCTTTCGCAGTGGGTTCGATTCCTGGAAGTGGCTCCAAAGACTATCCTGCTAGTGTCTGGTCTCTATTTCCGGTGCGGTGTCCTGCTGTCTGAAACTTCCACAAGCGGATATGGTTTTCGATTTCATGCTGTCGTCTCGCGCCAACCCCAAACTCTAAGACGTTCCTTGTGAGATGCTAGTCCGATTCAGCCGACAACACTACACACGAAGGCCATATTGAAAAGGTACCAGGAATGCCTCAGGCATGCACTGGGTGCTCAAGCAGTGCCCGGCGCTTTTGAAAGTGTGGAAGCTTTGCTAGCCCTCCAGATAATAGCCGAATGCATGCGGCTGCTTTTTTCGGCGTGTGTCGACGTTTCTGTTAGAGCATGCAGTCCCACGGTTTGGGAAAGCAAATTCGTCTGTACAGCGCATGTGGCCGCGCAACATGTTGCTCAGTCGGGCAGGTGCAGGTGCACTTTCGTACTCTTCAAGACACATGAAGCTGATACACCCACTTCTGTTGGGTTCACTGCCTTTTTGTGAGTGTTTGGGAAGTGTATGAAGCTGCGTTGGCTGCCGAAGGTGACCTTGCTTGTACTGAGTAACGTGTACTACTCTACGTGCAGGTAAAACATTGATTCAGTGGCATCAGGGTGCAACTCTCTCGTGGCTTCGGAGGTTGCCACAGCTGCGACTGTTACACTCACATCTGGAATCTCTTCCACGTCAGCTTGTGCAGTGTCCTGAAGTGTCTGGAAAGCAGAGCGAAAATCACTCCAGACAGGGGGTGCCTGCGGCGTGCACTGGGTTCTCAAGCAGTGCCCGGCGCTTTTGAAAGTGTGGAGGCTTTGCTAGCCCTCCAGATAATCGCCGAATGCATGCGGTTGCTTACTTCGGCGTGTGTCGACGTTTCTGTTAGAGCATGCAGTCCCACGGTTTGGGAAAACAAATTCGTCTGTACAGCGCATGCGGCCGAGCAACATGTTGCTCAGTCGGGCAGGTGCATGCGGTGTCGACGTTTCTGTTAGAGCATGCAGTCCCACGGTTTGGGAAAGCAAATTCGTCTGTACAGCGCATGTGGCCGCGCAACATGTTGCTCAGTCGGGCAGGTGCAGGTGCACTTTCGTACTCTTCAAGACACATGAAGCTGATACACCCACTTCTGTTGGGTTCACTGCCTTTTTGTGAGTGTTTGGGAAGTGTATGAAGCTGCGTTGGCTGCCGAAGGTGACCTTGCTTGTACTGAGTAACGTGTACTACTCTACGCGCAGGAAAACATTGATTCTCGAACACCTCTCCAGACGCTTCGGGAATTGGCGACTGTTACACTCACAGCTCTTCGTCGTCAGCACATGCAACGATTCGCCGTGCTGTCCTGCATGGGCACTGGGGCCTCCGACACCGTCACATCGATCGCGTCTTGGGAAAGCAAGCCATGAGCTACATGTGGTCCGCTTGCCAGGGTCTGGGAGGAGCTTGCAACCTCATCGTTGTGACAAACTGGCGCTGTGGAAAGGGTCGTGGCATCGTCAGCCACATCTTCTTCGAAGATTGCCGCGCCGCCGTCGTGCGAATTTGGAAGTGCTTCTTCTTCCGCAGAAACTTCCAAAACCACCTTCGCGGTGGCAGAAGCAGCAGCAATGTTGCGTAATTCTTGCAGAACGGACTTTAGCATCCTAACCTGACTGCAGCGCAACCACACGCTCTGCAGGCAAGAACGATGCTCGGAGCGCAGCTGTGCAGGGCGGCTGCGGCAAATCTGTTTGAAGTCTTGCTCCCCATGGTTCCGCAAAGCAACAAGACAACCATATGCGAACCCCAGCCCCCCGGCACCTTCGCGTCACCAAAGTTGTCGCCTCTGGCTCCAAGGACTTCGGGGCGAATGGCATCTTCTTCCGAGTGCGGAAGGGGCTGAACGCGGCCGTCAAAGTTCTCGAACCGAGCTTCCAGGTAGCATGCTTGGACTGCATAGCCTGCGGCGGGTTCAATAAATTGAAGAGGTTCCTTTAAGGATCCTTCTTATGGGGGCGATTGTACCAGATCGGGTCTGAACCTCATGGAAAACTAGAAGCTGCATGACTAGGCAAACTCAGACTTTGAGCCTCCCACACTTTTCAAGGCGCAGGAGTCTGGTTCCAGCAAGGGAGCTCATTACTATCGAAACTACGCACCTCCAAACTACCATCCGCTTCTTTGATCCCCCCCCACCCCCAAACACCCCATGACGGAAGCATCCCATGTTACAAACTACGGCGGGTTTGGGTGGGCAGCTTCAGCCCTTGAGCCTCCGACCCCACTTCCCCAGGTTGCCGGAATCCTCAAGTCTAGTATTCTGGGACGGGCAGCTCCGAAACTACGCACCTTCAAACAAGCATCGCTTTCTCTCAGGCCAGCAACACAAATCTGTATAGCCATCCACGACCCACACCTACGGATCGAAGGAACTCCTGCTGATTCCTGCCTAAAACGTAGCAAAAGAAACGGGAGCTTCGATGGCCTGCCTGAAAACTGGTATGTGCTCAGCAAGATGCTGCAGAACTGGACCAGCATTTGCGATGCCTTGCATATCCGAACATGGACCGATGTCAAAAGCAGATCTTGGGCTGAGGCATCGTCACTGAGACACCAAGAACCAGATTAAGCTTCTTGCATGCCCTAGATGCTGTATTGACGGCCCAGAAGAATGCATAGGCTGTGACACAGGCGCAGAACAAGGCTTCAGATCGCTTTTCTTCCTGAGGCCACCAACAACAACCCACGAGGATAAAGAGCCTAAGCTTACTAACAGACTAACATATCCTCTACCGCTGACGGCTCTTGTTCGCGAAGCTATGTACGGAGTCAAATCTCCTCGAGGAAGTCCAAGATGTCTTGCCGCGGAATGCCGCGCTTTGCGCTGGCTGTGACAGCCTGCTGCAGAATGCAAATGGGTCGACCTATGTAAGTTATTGGAGCTGTGATGCTAGTCTCTGTGCTTGGCTCAAAATCAAGCAACACAATCATGACTGTGTGCACATCACAAAATCCCAGCAGCAAAAGGTCAACGATACCAAGTGCGAGTTTGCAGCCTGCGTTATTAGATTTCGCTGCCCCACGGTAATTTTCAAACTGACACGGCTTAATTTGCCCCAGAACCTGGCAAGTACATTTACAATGACAACGAGGCCTGGCGGAGACGCCACAAGGGAAGGACGCACAGCTGCTTCAGGGTGCTCCGCACCACAATGAACGTCAGAAGGGCAGCGAAGAAGTAGTCCCGTGACAGGAGAAATGTCCCAACGGTGTTGATATCCAGGCCCACATCTAGCATCAGCACTGCAACACTCATCCACAGTCCGCCTCCCTGCCAAGGCCAAGCAAGCGCCACAACTGGCTTGATTTTCGAATGAACCTCAACGAATTGCTCCGGCGACTGCTCCAAGAGATCCTTCACAGCCTGCAGAGCTGCTTCTTGAAGGTCTTCAGGCTCTGGATCCCCTCGGCCAGCACGGAGTGGCTCCGTGCAGCCCATGACGACGAGAAGCGCCAACCACACCACATAAGACAGGACGACCACCAGGCTGAAAAAATGTAGGCACATGAAAAGCTCTGCGGCGCTTATAGGCCCGAAAAAACTGTTGTCCCACAAACCCCAGACCTGGTAGTCACCGAGCCATGGTGCCCAGTGCCCGCCACCTAATCTATGAAATCTCAACTCCGCGTGAAACGGATTGATGATTCTGCCGTGAATCGCTTGTCCCTGTTTGGCGATGGCCGTCAGAAAATGGACAATGCCCATCAATACTGAAGTGCGGAGGAGGGCAATAACTTGGCTGGGAAACCCCCGGCTCAGTATTGCCAGAGCCGGAGCACGGAGCAAGGCCCGCAGCCCACGCAGTCGAACTGCTGGGATGAAGTAAGCCAGAGTCACCACAGGCAACCACCAGGCCCAATAGGCAACAATCAGTGCGAAGCCAAAAAGATAGATGGCAGTATAAACTTCCAGCCAACACCAGAGTCGCCAAAGCGTTCCGTGGGTTGAAAAGGCTCGACTGACTAGAAGCATAGCACCGTTCTGGAACGGATCCAAACGCTTCGCGGTCGAATGCAAACTTGCGCGCTGCCGTTTCCTTTGCAAGAGTTTCTGTTCGAGGGCCACGACCGCGCAGGTCACCAGGACCACGCAGCCAGGAACGACCCAGGTGGCGGCGGAGATGGCCGAGATCAGCGTTGTCGTCGAGACTTGCGCTTTCAAGAAGTCCCTGGCGTCTGGGCTATCCAAATCTGCCCACAAAGGAACCCCTGAAGGAGATCGCCAGCCCACATAACCGCCGCAGCTCAACCAAAGCTGCACCGCAGGCTTCGAGAGCTGTCGGAATGACAGACAGTTGAAGTCTACAGCGTGCGCTTGCCAGGATGGCTGGAACCAGGGTGCGGTCACGTTGCAAGCCGCTGCGACGACCAGCTCGCATTGAAGTCTGTGGACAGTCGGCATAGAACCGTCCGGCCACACCTGCTTTAAGACCTGCAAAAGATCATAGTCCCAGAACCCCGTCCGGAATGGAACTGCATGCAGCGGAGTGTCGCCTTTGTTGTTGTGGTGACGCGCAGGGCGGCACGCACCCCTGCAGGCCAGCTGTCAGTGAGGAGCACCAGCAAGGTCCTACAGCAAAGTGAAGTGGTGTGTCACCATCGACATCTCTGGCTCGTAGTCCTTCGGGCCATACCTCCAGCAGCACCAGTATCGTGTCTCTGTCGGATGGCCCACACGGCTCAACGCTCCGCGCAAAAGCCACATGCAGAGGTACTCGTCCATTAGAGTCAGCCACTTGGACACCTTCCGGCCAGGCTTCGACCAGCAAGCGCAAGACGTCAAACGAACCTTTTTCAACAGCCAGGTGCAGAGGCACTTGTCCATTAGAGTCACGCCACTTGGACACCTGACAGCAGCTCCGCCGCTCTGCTGGCATTGTTGCGGTAGACGGCTTCTGCCAACTCAGAATGCATGCAAATTTGTAGCGGGGTGTCGCCCGCGTTGTTGGTGGCAAGCACAACTGCCGGCCACCTGTCTGTCAGCATTTCCCAAACTTCCGAGTTGACATGACATTCTCGTGAAGCATAGTGCAAGGGTGTGTCACCGTGGACATCTTGGGCGCTTACTCCTTCGGGCCATGCCTCCAGTAGCGGCTGGAAGGCATCTAAAGCTGAGCGGGTATACCACTTGCAATTAGAATTAAACATGCCTTCAAAAGCCGAATGCAGGTGTTTCGCCAAATTCGTCAGCCACTTGAACACCGTCCGGCCAGGCTTCGACCAGCAAGCGCAAGACGTCAAACGAGCAACAGGCGGAGGCTTCATGCAGCAACGTCTGGCCTTTAGCTGGAGAGAACTCGTCGACTGTGCGAGTACTGCTAACGTCGAACTGCCCGGCGGACAGCCTCTCCACTCTGCTGGCATTGTTGCGGCGGACGGCTTCTACCAGCTCACTCTGCATGCAAAGTCGTTGCGGAGTGTTGCCCGCGTTGTTGGTGACATGAAGCACAACTGCCGGCCACCTGTCTGTCAGAGTTTCCCACACCTCCGAGTTGACCAGACATTTTCTTGCAGCATAGTGCAAGGGTGTGTCACCGTGGACATCCCGGGCCCTTAATCCTTCGGGCCATGTATCCAGTAAAATCTAGGAATTATATAAAGGTTTGGCATCATATACATGTGAGAGAAAATAGCGCGGGCAATAAAACACAGTATGCAGAGGTGTTCGGCCAAATTCGTCAGCCACTTGCACACCGTCCGGCCAAAAGGCAACCAGGTTGCGTAAAATGGCAATCGAGCACAAGACGGAGGCTCGATGCAGCAACGTCTGGCCTTCAGCACGGCCAGGCCCACCGCGGAGAGCCATAGCGCGGCCACCGCGCAGAGCAATAGCCCGCCCACCGCGCAGAGCCATAGCGCGGCCCAGGGGTGCATCTGGGTTTGCTTTGCAGATCCCAGCCGACGCCCGGACGTGGCTAAGGCAATGGCAATCATGGCGGCGTGCCCTGATCAAGCCGTCGGCTGCTCCTAGCTCCACAGCTTGATATCGTGTTTCTGAGCAGGCTTGCACATGCTCTACCGTGAAGGCCGTGTAGCTAGAAAACATAGTGGCAAGCTGAACAGATGAAAGGCCAAACAAAAATCGGACATGTGTTGCTCAGTCCCGAGCCTGCCAGTCTGTCTGATCCCAGCTGGCGGCCACGTGCCTCTATCTCAACATAGCGGATTGCAAGTTGTAGGGTTCTGGCTTGCAGGGTTCCAGGGCTGGTTGCATCTCGGGACCTTCAGACACAGAGCTCCTCCTGGCAAAGGTATAGATCTAGAAATCTGGGTCCAAACCCACTGTCCCGCTGAATGAAGTGAGTGGACCACAAACATAGACACATTAGGGGTTTAGGGGTTTGGCACTGTAGAAGCTCAGAACCAGGACAACGAAATGTGATTTCAAGCACTTCGTCACTTAGCACAGAGCTGGCTTTCTGACTTCATGGGAATCTGAGTTCCACACCCAGTATGCCGCTCACCCGGATGCCTCAAAAGGTGATATATGCTGGGCTTGGACAGTGTGAAAGCAAGGATATCCCTCACTCCGATGCTCGAAGGCAGTTCTGTTGAAGCACTACAGTGCGATCCCAATGCGAACCATCAAAGATGATGTCAGCACGCTAGCAGACTTTCAGTATCTCCGGTGCCTCGCCATCGTGGAGAGGATGCGTGCGGAATGGCACGGTCGCGAGATAGGAGTTGTGGCCTCGGGCTCCAGCAATCTCTGCGCAGGATGCGGCGCTGCATTAAGGTTGCTGCCGGAGCTCGCTGCCTGTCGCCTCTTGCTTGAAATGGCTTCGGAGAAGCTCTTGCAGGAGCTGCCTTATCCTACGCAAGTCTGACCTGATCACAAGCACGGGCATCAACCAAGAGACCTGCTAGTTCTTTTCCGGGATCTCCGGGATCCTTTGGATCCACGGGCTCTGGAAAGCCAGTACTAAATCATGCGACCCGCATGGAAAATGCCAGCCCGAGCAGTGGCAGTGCAAAGCCCAAATCCTGTGGTCTAACTCCGCCTTTGCGGTGAAGTCTCGCTCATTCAAACTGACCCTGGTGCTGCTTCGCCTTCTCGTAGTTCGTGATCTCCGGAACGTGCTCCTCATCCGGCTTCAGAGAGCGATGCGCTGACTATTCTGAGGCTTCAGGAACTGCAAGCCTACCGGCCTAAGTCTAAGCCCACAGAGGTCCTTTCGCTGCTTCCTGTCTCGAACGATGCGCGCCAGTTCTTTCAAGGTGTGCGCCTGATCAAGAACTTTCGGCAGGACTTACTAAGCCTCGATTTCCCCTTTTGTGCTTCGTGCGGCCTCATCGAAGTTGGCTCGGATGTTTGCGTTCATGAGTGCGAAGGCTAAGGAGCGAATTTGCTTATAGAAGTCTCCGGCTCGTTCTCGTCCCTGGAGAACTCGAGCTTCGTCCAGTCTCTTCTTCCAGACGTCGAGGTCGGAGACGAGAGGCGACACGCGGAAGCTGCCTTGGTTGCGTCTTTCTGCACGCAGTTGCACGATCGCCTTGGACAACTTGCTCTGGCCAACCTGCGCGAAGGCCACTCTCATGTCGTCAGACCAAATGTCGTAATAGTCGCTGCTCTTCCGGCGCCACTCTTCGCCTGTTACGGTGCAGAATGCCGAGTGGGTAAGCTGCTTGCCACGGGCACCCCAGATGGGGCAGTCGTCAGGGATGTGGTGAGTGTTGAAGTTCAGGTAGTAGCAGTGCCTGGCACACTGGGCTGCCTGGTGTAGCCAGAAGTCCTGCACAAAGGCAAGCAGGGGACGCGGCCCGGCCACGCCGCCTCCTATTCATCCTACTCTGGGTCGGGCTACGCCGCGGCTACGGGTTCCGAGCGTCGGGAGGTGGTTTACATACTATAAGATAACTATCATGTAACTATAATGTTACTATGTCACCATAATAAAGCTATAATATAAATATAATATGACTATAATAGAACCCTAAGAGAACTATAATAGAACTATAATATGCCTATATTATGATAATGTAGGGTAGGGTAGGGTTCGACCTGCAGCAGTAGCCGCGGCCTCCACCACTCTTCCCCGCCCAGCATCTCGGGGGGCCTCCGCAAGCGTCATCGGCCCCCTCCGCGGGAGGTTCCAGAGGGGGCTTGAACTAGAGTCTGGACTATAAGTGGAAACGAAGGCCGAGACCGGCAAGGACTGGTCCCGAAAGAAATGGGGAGCCTGAAACCCGCCGGAAGTGGCCCAAGTCTGGGTTATCAGCCCGGAAAGGGGGGTTTGGGCCAGAAGAGGGGGGGGGGCGACGCAAAGTGGGTAACTGGAGAAGGGGAAGGACGATGCACTCGCGGACGCGTAGAGGCGGGGGGCCCAGCTGAGCCGGACTCGAAACCGAGGCCTGGCATGTAATGGTAAGAATCGGGGTAGCGGCTACGGCTTCACGAGAAACGTACATTCTCGGAGCGAGACTATACGGCCTTGCGAGAAGCGGTGTCTGGAACGACGTGAGGAGCGATGCGTACTGCGACAGAAAGAAGCGGAGCTACTGCCGTGCGCGGGTCGTTTACCCAGGTCCCCGATCTGGGAGCTAGAAGCGGGTCTGGAACGACTTGGGGAGCGCTGTGTGGTGGACGCGATGGAAGAAGCGGAGCTACGGCCGGGATTTAACAAACCGGGGAGAGAAGGGGGGACTGGGACGACATGAGGGGCGCTGCTTGGTGGACGAAATGGAAAGAGGCGGAACTACGGCCTTACACGGGTCGTTTACCAAGACCCGCCACCTCGGGGTGGGAAGGGGGGTCTGGAACGACAGGTGGCCGAAATGGAATGAAGTGGAGCTACGGCCTGACGCAGGTCGTTTACCAAGACTAAGACCCGCCACTATATTATGATAACTATAGAGGACATGTAAGGGAAAATTCCTTACGAGCTCGGTCCTCGAGGACATTCTTGTTCCCGAGCGACAGCATGTTGTCCAGGAACACCAACGACGAGTTGTGTCCCTGTTGAGCTGCCTGTGGGATTACTGCAGCCCAGACGCCATTGCCTCCCTTCAGTACACTTTCCACACTGGCTGCATCCTGAGTGTTGCCGCTGCCACCATGGGCGTGAACCAAGATCCGGTAGTGCTCGGTCTCCGGAAAGAACTTCCGGAGCCACTCGACCAGCGTCCCATAGTCTATGTAGTTGGCGCATCCTCGGCCTTCCTCTGTCAAGATGGCCACGACTCTCCGCTGGAAAGCCTCGTCGGCCTTCCAAGTCTGGAAGGCTCTTTCGGCCGCGGCCTTTCTTTCGGGATTCATGGTGCCATCCGTCTTCAGGTCCAGGAACTCCATCAAGTCCACAAGGTTCAAGGAAATCTCGCCCATGCCGGCCTTGCCATGCTCCCCGCCCAACTCTTCGTCACTCCGCCAGGGATCTCCCGGAAGGCCCATGTCGGTGAAGATCCTGTCCAGATCTGCGACTGCCTCTAAGATGGACTGCACGAAATCCGAGGCGGCGAAACGCACACTGGCCTGTCGGAGGCTGTCAGGCTTGGCTGTGACACTCGAGGAACCTAAAACTAAATGCACACGAGCATGTTAGGACTCAGGACTGCTGTTGAGCCCCGAACACCCCAGCTCAGACAACTCTCGGAATTTGGGATTTGGAGTTCCGAGTCGGTGCCAGGGTGCCGCTGTCTCCTGATAGACCTGAACCCTCTTCTTCCGAGGGTTCAGGGTAAAGGTCATTCGTCCAGGGATTCAGGGTTGGAGGTGAATGGATTGAAGTAAAAAGCGACGGATGATGAGTGGTGAGTAGCACGATGCTCCCCGTTGCTTGTCGTCGCCCACTCCATCGCATTACAGTCGTGTACCGTCCCAGAAGCTCGTCATGCCTCATCTGTGGTTGCTGTACCACCAAGTCATGGTGTTCCTGAGCTTCTCGCCTCATTCCGGACTACATGCAGGTTCGCCGTGCCTTGCGAATGAAGTTCGAGCATTTGCGTTTTGTCAAACTCTTGGAAGCCTGGGTCTGCCACTCCTCAGGGCATTGTCTAGGACCGCCCTCCCATTCCTCCTTTCTAAGCTTGTACTTGCCACTACTATTGCTTCACGCACACCCGATAGTAGGATACATGGTCACTACGCAAGGAGAGCATGCTCTGGGCTCCGTAATTTTACTTGCACCGGGCTTGTCTCCGTGACCGCCGAATGGCTCATTTGAATGTGGCTCAGGTGCCTATGTTATGTCATCAGCGGCGACCAGGCTGATCGGGTTGCAGGCGTCTGAGGCTTTGGGGCTGGGGCCTTGAGGCCAGGAATGCATGTCGAGCGTAAACCATCATCCGAGGAACCGTTCTCTTATCATCGACATGCCTTCCAACAATGCTTTTAAAAAGGATCTTTTAAGACATTGAGTTTGCTGGGGGCCACTTAGCGACATGGACCAGGGCTTCCCACACCTCACTCGTCTCGGGCTCGGTGCTCGCGCTCCGTTTGTCAGAACTCTTCTGCAAAGACTTCTTCGAGGCTTTCTTTGGGTTTCAACTTTTCAAGGCTTTCGTCTCTACAACGGAGATCCCACGAGAGGGTGCTCCAGAAGCGAGGCCTTGAGGGTGAGGTCCAGGAAAGCGTTCGGGATTTTGAAGTCCTTGATGGCAGCCATGCCCGCCTTGCGGTCCTCTTCGCCTGGACCGAACATCGCCACCAGCCCCTCCATGCTGTCGTTACGGTCCCGCAGCTCTTCGAGGATCTGATTCTCGGGGGTGTAGGAGTCCTTGTAGTAGAGGCCGGTGATCGCAATGTCTTTGAAGAACATCTTTCGGATGATCTGCAGAGTCAGGTACTTCATGTACCCGGTGTGACCAAAGGGCGTGTTGGTCGCGGGTTCCCGAACGGTGTGGTCCATCACTATGGGCTTCAAGTTCTGCAGCCGATCGTCCTTTGACGACGGCGTCATCTCTTCGACACTGTCCAGTGGAGCTCTGAATTTGTCATCGTCGTCAAGATCCCGCACAAACTTCTCTGTTTGCCCGATGATCTCGTGCCAGAGCTTGTTGTCCGGCGCGCAGAGGAAGAGTTTGATGTCTTGAGGCTCCATAAGGCCGAAGACACTTTGCCGAAGCACCGCTTCGTCAGACTGCCGCGCCTCCCGGCAGAGATGCTCAAGTTGGTTGTCCACATCAGGGAACTGCTCCGGATTCTGAAGTTCCTTGAAGAGCGAGTCGCACCTCCGGCACACCTGCAGTCCTAAAGGCTTGGCTCCATCTCTACAGTCGAAGCCAGCCGTGGCATGCACCTGCCAGCGTCACGGAACAGAGCAGCACACGACGCCCGCAGCACGGCACAGCCTGGCGCTGAGGCGGCGAGAACTGCCCGGACCTCTGCCCCATGGCCTTCAGGAAGGGTTTGCTTACCCCTGGCGGCTCCATGCAGAATCATGCGCAAACAGCACGTCCAAGCTCAGCGGCCCATAGGGCTTGGAGTGCTGAATGGAGGACCTGCGAGAATTTGGGTGCACATGCGCCGCCGCTGCGTTGCCGCATCCCGCGGGCCTCAGGGTTGACCTTGTGCTGCATTGCATCCGTCATGGCAAGTCGCAGGATCGCCTCGTTGCCGGACACCATCGCGGCTTTCAGCACTTCTTCGTCCTTCGAAATCAGGAGAGCTTGACGGACAATCCCCCCAAGATCCCAAAACCTTCTCCTGCTCAGCGAGAGATGGATCTGCCGCTGGTTCAATGGGAGCCCGCTCCACGTCGTGGCCCTGGTGGCAGGCAGAACTCCGAGCTCCAATGATCGGAGGACGGTGCATCTTCTCGAAGGCTGGGAGCAGAGGAGGGACGAGGATGAGTCGGTTCGACGGCAGGAGTGCGATCAGCGGAAGTGCGATAGGCATTTTCAGGCCTCGCAAGGGCCAAACGAGATGTCCAACTTTTGAAGGTGAAGCCGAAAGCAGTACAAGCTTGTGGGAGAGCAACAGCGTGCCGAGAAACCTCCATAATTTCAATCACAGGGGCAGCCCCAAACCTCGAGAGGGGTGCCGACGGTGCCGATAAGACCAATAGAACCCAATGGCTTCAGGTCTCCACGCTTCCAATCCCGCCAAACTCACAGCATTGCACTGGGACCTCTTGAGATTTGGGCCCGAAACCGCTTGGGACCTCGCGACACAGGTGCACATGATGCTTCGTGACCCTTGCTCCTGTCGGGGATGATTTTTATACACCCCAAGTGCTGAATTCGAGCCCTACTGACACTTGATGGCATGACATCCCTTAGCCGGCCAGACCATCAGATTCAACTCAAACTCAACCAAACATGGCACACTTGGTGGCCGGCCCGGTCAGGTGACCTCGTGGCATCCTTTTGGATGCGCTGCATGGCCTGCATCGTTCGGAGGGGCTGCAAACAGGGATATATAACCGGTGCATTCACCGTTACACATGCTGGAATGGCAAGCCACGTTATCCCCGTTGGCGCATGCCATTCCATGAAACTTACGAACTGACATGGAAACTACCGAAACTGGGGATCCCCACACCGTGTCCGGCGAGGAGGACCTGTCACTCCATGCGTATGCGGTGCTCCGAAATTCTCAGGCACGCAGAAGAGAAGGGACTAGACTGTGGCAACCGCCCAGCGGGCAGCACAACTGTCGACAGATGCCCCTTGTTAGTCTCCCGAGCATGCCCTCTGCAGCCAGGTTTTACCGGGCTTGGTCATGAAGGCTTTTCTACTATCGACATGGCAAGCCGAAAGTGGCTTGCATCGGACGGACCCCTATATGCTGACGGATTTGGTCTCTTTGTGGACGTCCCGTCGAGGGTATGAGACTTGGAACGCTCCTGGTCTTGGCTTCTGCTTACAGTACTGTGCTCCTTGACAATCGGAAACGCCGGAAGCCCCTGTGCAGGTCTTGACTAAATCACCCAGTCAAACTTGGCCCGGGGCCTTGTTGTTCACCTTCAGCTCTTTCGCACGGGCAAGGGCTGCCTGAAGTGCTTGCAGATCGCCGCCGCTCATCGCCTTCACGAGGCTCTGCTCCGCCTCCACCTGAAAGCGGAAGCACATGGCCAAAGGCGCGACTTCCAGCACCGAGCCGAGGAAGCCACACGCTGCATGGCTTCGTAAGCTTCCACGAGTACCTGGCATCCAGTTCCGTCTTTCACCTTCCGAAGCCCCTCCGGAGCAGCTTCAGACCTCCGGCCTCGTCCGGCAGCCCCAGGCTCGCGCCTTCTTCGATGGCTTCTTCCAGGGCTGCCACGTCGCTTCCCTGCATCGCTCCTCGCAGCTTGGCTTCTGCCTGTCGCAGCAGGAGCAATCGGCTCCGAGCGCACCAAACAAAACCCACCCTTTCTTGGCCCGGCCGGTTCGAGGTTCCGCCTTTCACCTTGCGAAGTGCCTATAAGCGTCCGGCCTCGCGCAGCTTGGCCTGTCCGGACCGGATAAGATGAGCTCGACAGATTCCAAGCACAAGTTGAAATCTGGAAGCTCGTTACGTAGTGGTCTAGTCCGGCGGCCGCGCCTGCTTCTCGAAGAAATACCCCTGAGGAAAAAGTCGCAAAAGTATGGCAATGCGCCGGGCTGAACTCTGCAGGAGAGCCACCACATCGAAGAGCAAAAGATCAAAGCTGCAGATACTGCAGTAGCAACCGTTATGATGACGACGACGAGTGAACCGTGCATAGTCATAGAACCATCTCCGTAAGCTTGGCAGAATGCTTGCCCTCATCGCCCCGCGTGTTCCCCCAATGCTGCTAAATATGTCTGAACACTAGCGGTCTCAGCTTTGCACTACGATACAGACTCGACATCTTGGGACTTCACGTATGAAGCAAATAAAATCAATGGCCTCCCCCCACTCAGAGTCTTTCACAGAAGCTTGACGGATCTCGGCAGCATGCAGGTGCATGAAAGAGTTTATCAAGCCTCCAGATCTCGGCTCACCCGCAGGCTGAAAATCGAAGGCACGAGAGAGCCAGGAAATCAGAGGGCAGAGCACCAGTGCAGGAAGTTTTCGCAAAGGCCTAGGCCACTCTAGCACAAACACCATCACTGCAATTGTCCTCCCCAGCGAACTTCTCTGACACATTAGTGATAGTGACTGTGCATCTTCCCTGCCGAAGTAGTGTCGTGTCCTAGGCCCTCGGAAGAATCGGACGTGGGGCGCTGTTCGAGCTGCGGCTGAAACCTATCAGGGCATCCGACTGCAACAGCCAAAAGCCCATGCTCAGAATGTACACGGAGCTGGCTGAAGCTTCGTTGGAATCCCTCTGAGAGCAGAAAGGCCGCGCCGTCCGAAAGCCCTCTTGGCATGCATACAAGTTGACGATTACAGCAGAACACCAACGCACACTTCAGCGCACCATCAACAGCGAGAGCCTCGCGCCTTCATGTCCAGGATCCAGAGATCGTTGAGACCTCAGGCAGGGCTGCTCGTAAAGCATCGCTACTCTGGCCCCACTGAGGACGGTCCCCACCAAGGCCGGTGCGTTTATAATGTCCTCGGCTTCCTCGGCTGAAGGTGGCAGGGCGCGGGCTTTCCGAAGAAAAGGACCCTGCCCGGCCGCGCGGACTCAGGGGCGGACCGTCGTCTGAACCCCCGAAGACCAGCATTTGCTGGAGCTCCGGAGCGTACACAGCGGTGTGGTAGCTGCGCTCCGGTGGAGGAGTTCCCTTCACCTCTGCTGATTTCCATTCCATGGCCTCGCAGCTTGGAGTATCCTGCTTTCCGTAATTCACTCGCTCACTTCCAACACATCCCGTGAGTGTTCCTCTCTGGTATCTTCCGACGGGCAGTTATAATGCAACAAGATCTCTTCTGGTGTTGCTGGAAAAGCCGCTTTCAGGGTCTACATGGTGGCCATCTGCGTGGTTTCGGGAGCTCTCCGAGTGCTTGTCTCAGTGACTACATCAACTGGCCATTCCCGGCTAAAGGATTCATCCGGTCTCACATCGGATAGCTGACTAGCTTTCGTCTGTGCCCTCTGCCTGCTGAAACAACATTTCGGGAGAGTGCAAAAGACCTCCACCGTTGCATGCGGGGAATGCGGAATGCACATGCTTTTCAGCGCAAGCTAAGGAACCTGGACATGGAAAGCTCCAGAAGTCTGGGTGCTGAGTCAACATCCGACTGCCCGACATGGGTTACAGTTTCAGTGTCAGCCTCAGTTTGGGATCTTGGCACGGGGGGAAGAGGGGCGGGCGACACAAATGTCGAGCGACTTTGAGAGTCTTCACTGCTCTTCCTCCGCGGGCTCACCGGCGCTGCAGCCGACTGTTGGGAGCTGTTGCACACCGCAGGCAGCCAGCGGCAGAACACCAACGCACACTTCAGCGCACCATCAACAGCGAGAGCCTCGCGCCTTCATGTCCAGGATCCAGAGATCGTTCATCCCTCAGGCAGGGCTGCTCGCAAAGCATCGCTACTCTGGCCTCACTGAGGACGGTCCCCACCAAGGCCGGTGCGTTTGCAAGATCCTCGGCTGAAGGTGGCAGGGCGCGGGCTTTCCGAAGAAAAGGACCCTGCGCGGCCACCCGGCCGCGCGGACTCAGGGGCGGACCGTCTAAACCCCCGAAGACGAGCATTTGCTGGAGCTCCGGAGCGTACACAGCGCTGTGGGCGGCGCGCTTCGGTGGAGGAGTTCCCTTCAGCTCTGCCAATTTCCATTCCATGGCCTCGCAGCTTGGAGTATCACTCCTTCCTGCAATTCACTCGCTCACTTCCAACACATCCCGTGAGTGTTCCTCTCTGGTATCTTCCGACGGGCAGTTATAATGCGACAAGATCTCTTCTGGTGTTGCTGGAAAAGCCGCTTTCAGGGTCTACATGGTGGCCATCTGCGTGGTTTCGGGAGCTCTCCGAGTGCTTGTCTCAGTGACTACATCAACTGGCCATTCCCGGCTAAAGGATTCATCCGGTCTCACATCGGATAGCTGACTAGCTTTCGTCTGTGCCCTCTGCCTGCTGAAACAACATTTCGGGAGAGTGCAAAAGACCTCCACCGTTGCATGCGGGGAATGCGGAATGCACATGCTTTTCAGCGCAAGCTAAGGAACCTGGACATGGAAAGCTCCAGAAGTCTGGGTGCTGAGTCAACATCCGACTGCCCGACATGGGTTACAGTTTCAGTGTCAGCCTCAGTTTGGGATCTTGGCACGGGGGGAAGAGGGGCGGGCGACACAAATGTCGAGCGACTTTGAGAGTCTTCACTGCTCTTCCTCCGCGGGCTCACCGGCGCTGCAGCCGACTGTTGGGAGCTGTTGCACACCGCAGGCAGCCAGCGGCAGAACACCAACGCACACTTCAGCGCACCATCAACAGCGAGAGCCTCGCGCCTTCATGTCCAGGATCCAGAGATCGTTCATCTCTCAGGCAGGGCTGCTCGCAAAGCATCGCTACTCTGGCCCCACTGAGGACGGTCCCCACCAAGGCCGGTGCGTTTGGAAGATCCTCGGCTGAAGGTGGCAGGGCGCGGGCTTTCCGAAGAAAAGGACCCTGCGCGGCCACCCGGCCGCGCGGACTCAGGGGCGGACCGTCAAACCCCCCGAAGACCAGCATTTGCTGGAGCTCCGGAGCGTACACAGCGGTGTGGTAGCTGCGCTCCGGTGGAGGAGTTCCCTTCCCCTCTGCTGATTTCCATTCCATGGCCTCGCAGCTTGGAGTATCCTGCTTTCCGCACTTCACTCGCTCACTTCCAACACATCCCGTGAGTGTTCCTCTCTGGTATCTTCCGACGGGCAGTTATAATGCGACAAGATCTCTTCTGGTGTTGCTGGAAAAGCCGCTTTCAGGGTCTACATGGTGGCCATCTGCGTGGTTTCGGGAGCTCTCCGAGTGCTTGTCTCAGTGACTACATCAACTGGCCATTCCCGGCTAAAGGATTCATCCGGTCT